GGACTCACCAAACAGCACCAGTTTCTTCTCCAGGCTCTTGAGGTGGATGACATAAAACGCGCCAACGAACACAGCCAGGGCCAGTAACAGCAACGGGGAGCTGATGCTGAGAGAGACAGGAGACAGAGCTGCTTCATTTCACTGCGACAGAGCGAGTGTTCAAAATCCTCAACTTCTGTCCATGCAGGGTCAGTGAACGGCTGAAACCTGTGACTTACGATCCCTCAGCATCAACTTGTGACCTGTGACCCTTGATCTGCAACGCCTTGGTAACCACCTGCAACCCCCGGCAGTGACCTGTGACCCATGACCCCCCGGCAGTGACCTGCCACCCGTGACCCTCCCCGGCAGTGACCTGCGACCCATGACCCCCCTCCAACAGTGACCTGCGACCCATTACCCCCCTCACCCCCAGGGCTGTGACCTGCGACCTGTGACCCCCCCCGGCAGTGACCTGTGACCCATGACCCCCCTCCAGCAGTGACCTGCAACCCATGACCCCCCCGCCCCCAGGGCTGTGACCTGCGACCTGTGACACCCCCAGCAGTGACCTGTGATCCATGACCCCCCTCCAGCAGTGACTTGCAACCCATGACCCCCCCCAGGGCTGTGACCTGCGACCTGTGACCTGTGACCCATGACCTCCCCCCCCCCCCAGCAGTGACCCACGACCCGTGACCCCGCTGCTGGACTCACATGCAGTACAGGATGAGGCCGAGGAAGATGAAGGTGTAGTTGCTCTGGTAGGTGTCCAGGTTGCGGACGACTCTCTGGCACAGATCCCCGAAGTTGCGCGGCTTGGAGAACCGCCGCTGGTCCACAAACCCCGCCCACGGGCGCATGGCGGCGCGGCGCCGCTCCAGCCACTCCCGCGCCACGCCCCCGGACAGCCCCCGCGGCAGCCAGAGCCTGCGACACAGAGAGAGTGACCGCCTGCTGGAGCACGCACTGACCCCACTGACCCTGACCACACTGACACTGAGCCTGTCACTGACCACACTGACACTGAGCCTGTCACTGACCCTGCCACCACTGACCACAATGACCCTGACCCCACTGAGCCCACTGACACTGAGCCTGTCACTGACCACACTGACCGTAACACTGACCCCACTGACACTGAGCCTGTCACTGACCCTGACACCACTGAGCCCACTGACACTGAGCCTGTCACTGACCCTGACCCCACTGACTACACTGACACTGAGCCTGTCACTGACCCTGAC